GTAATTTGGCGGATGATCTTTAGTGACTTTATTGTTTCCTCTCTTGGTTAGGATGACCTAGCATCATCCTTTAGTAACAACATGACCTATCTCTCTTACTCTGCACCTTCAAATGTGTTGTTCCCTGAAACGTCCTTCACTCATGTATTAACATTAGGATTCCTTCAAGGCTGAACTCAACCATTCTCCAGCTTGCCCTTCCCTCATCTGTGTTGGGCATCTCTCCACCAGGTGCCCACGCTGTAGGTCTTAGCACAACACACATCCTCCGGGGGGAGGTGGCTGGTGTAGCTCCCTCTACCACAATGTAACGGGCTCGAGCCATCAGGACAAGAACGCTTTTGCGCCGTATTCCCAGCATCTAACAGGGTGTCTGGTAAAAGCAGAAAGAAAGGAATGAAAGAGGAGTCCTGGAGTCACACCGGATCAAATCTTTGAAACCGTTTCCTGTTTAGGGAAAAAAATTCTTGTTATAACTGGAAACTTGAAACTAGAATGCCTGTTCCTTTACAATAATTTCTCCCCTTCATTCAGCACACCTCCCAACAGTCTTTGGAGTCAGGAGATTTCAAGGAAGTAAAACATTATGAGAAGGACTCCTCCAAACCATTTTTTTTTTTTGTCTTCCTTGACATTTACATCCTGTATCTGATCAGAAATTTGTAACTCACATGAACTGTTCATGATAATGAGCCATTCTTAATACAGTACTGATTGAACACCTCTCTCCAAGAAGGTCACAGTGCTTTACATACATTATCTCACAACACACCTGAATTAGGGGTGACCACCTGTTAAGCATTCACTAGAGTCTGACAGTTGTGATCTCTGTAAAGTTGACTTTCACCCTCCTCTTGGCCCACGAAAGACCAAAACAAGGTTCAAGTCTTCAGTGGCAGTAGCAGCTTTATCAGAGTCATTAGTTTCTTAACGACAAGGATACATTCTGAGAAATGTATCATTAGGTAATTCTGTGTTTGCGTGAACATCATAGACAAACCTGGATGGTATAGCCGACCACACACCCAGGCCATATGGTACAGCCTATTTATCCTAGGCTACAAGCCTGTACAGCATGTTACTGTGCAAAACAACACGAGATTAAGTCAAGCACAAGAAAAAATGATGCACATAATTACATGTACTATACTTTATCCAACTGGCAGCGCAGTAGGTTTGCTTACATCAGCATCACCACAAACACGTGAGGAGTACATTACACGAAGATGTTAAGATGGCTAGGAGGTCACTAAGCAGTAAGAATTGTTTAGCTCCATTATAATCTTATGAGACCACCTTCGTACATGTGGTCTGTTGACCAGAACATAATGTGTATGCATGACTATACTACCATTATTGCATTCCTGAGCCTTCTGGGTAGTCTCAGGTCAGAAACTGAGCTAATTCTCTCAGCAGCTACAAGAAATCTAAGAGTCAAGCCTCAGTATAATACTGGTCATAAAGCTGTGTAGATAAAGTGTTCGGGGAGTTTAGTAAGGGGATATTGCAGGCGCCTTCTAATGCGTGTCTGGTGCCTTCAGTGAGTGAAGCCTGCAGTTTTCATTGTGGGCTCATGTGTCTAAGTCCCACGTGGGACATTTTGTGGAGAAGCAATGTGATAGGGAGAATCGGCACTGGGTAAGAGCAGGAAGCTTAGATTTCTGATCCCATCTCAGTCGTTAACCAGCTGTGTGTCCTTAGTGAAGTCGCTTAGTCCCTTTAGACCTATAAATTGAGAGCATTGGACTAAATGATTGCCAGGCCCTTTACAGCTTGAGAGTAGAATGATTCTGTCCTTACAAAATTGCAGCTCCCAGGTTTCCTGCTCCAGCCCTCCATGCGCTTCACAGATTGATCTGAATGTCTAATGTTGGTCACCATGCTTTTTCTGTCTGTATGCGCATATCAGCTTCCATGATGGATTGTCAGCTCCCTGAGGGCAAGAGTCCCATTCACTTCATTTTGTGTCCCATGCATAATGTAGGTATACTTACCTGCTCTTTCCTCTCTTTTTACCTGTAAATCACATCTGCATCTTTTCGGCACACTAACCTGTACAGGTCTTGCTACCTGAAAAGGACAGACTCCACCTCATCCTCCATCAGGCTTCCTATATCTCTCCCCCTTTGTAGCGACTTTTCTTGAAACAGTAGATTATGTTTATCATTTCCACTGCTACCTTCTCTGTTGCTCCCCGACTCTCTACAAGCTCCCCTTCTGCCCTCCCTCAAACCTACAGAAACATCTTTTGATTAATTCCCTAAAGAATTTTATATTGCCAAATCCAAAAGAACACGTGGGCATTTTCATCATAGCATCTAGCAGCACCACCTTGTTCTTAAAGCTCTCCCCCTGTGGCTCTTGTGGGACCGGTTTTTCTGCTCCTGCTTCTCTTACTTGCCCTCTGGTCTGTCCCTCTCAGACCGGTGGTTCTGTTGCTGGCTCTTGGCTCTTCTCACTTCGCAGCCCCTCTGTGGACAGCTTCACCCCAGCCTGTGGCCTCCACTGCCACCTCCCAGAGCCATTACTGTTTCTTGAAAAGCACATTCCCAACTTCTCTCTAATCTCTGAGTCACAGCACATGGGTCACGTGCAAGACCTGTGCTCAGCAGTCTCGTCCAAAACGGCGCTCTTGTGTTTTCTCTTTTTAGATGATAATCCCACAATATACGTAGTTGTCCAGGCATGGGCTTCTCTCTTTTCCTGTTTCCCACAATCAGCCAGTTTCCTCCGAAGTTTAGACCTTCATCCCTTGCACATGGATGTTTGCAGTAGCCTCTTTGCTGTGCCCCCTGCGTCCTGTGTCTCTCTTCTATAATCCTTCCTCAAATGTAGCCAAAAGGGACTTTGCTAGGATTCAAACTTGATCTTGTTGCCTTGGCTACTTAAATTTTCTATGCCTGACCATTGACCTTTAGATAAAATTCCTATTTCTTAGTGCGCAAAATCCTTTGCGAGCTGGATGCTCACCCGCTTCGCAGTTGCTCCTGGGCCCCTCCCCATTCGTTTTGGATGACTTCCTCCAAGAAACTGTGCTCTTTCTCACCCCTGTGTGCCTTTACGTGGGATATTCCATTTCCCCCTCCTCTGCTGGCAAGTCCAACTTGTGGCCTTAAGGGCACTAATCGGATACCACCTTTGTAGAGAAGCCTTCTCTTCCCTTGCCAGGCAGAAAGCAGCGCCAGCTCCCCTGGGCTCCCTCAGCCCCGTGTTCCTATGTCTGCCACAGCACTTACCCAAGTTGCTTGGGAGGCTGTTTACATGTCAGTCTCCCCTACCACACAGCAAGCACCGAAGGGTCTGGACTTCTCCCCTTGGCCTTCATTGCTCACTTCTTAGCTTTGAGCCCGGGACACAGTGCGTATGTCAGACATTTTTGCTGAACAAGTGGATAAGACATGGGCAAAGAAGAGCTTACTCAAAGACTTAGTCCATCTCCCCCCAACTTTTTTTTTTTTCTTTTTCTTTTTTAGTCATTCTCTCCATTGCATAAAGGATGGAGGCCACATTCCTTAGTCCAGATCCGGGGTTTTCCACTCTTTACTTCCACCTGCTTTTTAGGTGTATATTCTACTCTTTTTGGAAAAGTCTGATCTACTCATTGATCCCTAAACAGTTCATTCTCATTCTAGACTCTTCTGTAAATTGAATAGATTAATGAATGGAGTGCAAATAGGAGTAGAACTCACATCTCAAGGCCTGTGTTCTATGCAGAAAAGCATCTTGCCTTTTAGAATAAACAGAGCGGCTCTGGATGACTGAACCTCTCATTCCGTGATAGTCCTCCCTCTTTCCTCTTCCTCTTGTGTTTTGAAGACCCTGGCAGGCATTAGCGGCACATGGTCCTGACTGTCTGGTAATAATTTCCCATCGTTTAAGTGCTAGAGCCAAGTGCATTCCCCCTTCATTTAAATTAGATAAAACCCAGAGCTGTGGCTTGCAAGTGATGGAAGTCCACTGGGGAAATTAAAGGTTCAGGGAGAATGGGACCCATTATAATAAACGCATTTGCACAGCCAGTGATTCCATCTACCCTGTGGCTCTGATGTTCCTTGGGGTAGGATGAAATATGAAGCAGGAGGACCTTTGAAAGCAGTTTGAGGAATTTATTTTAATTGGAAATAGTGACAGCATTCTGCACTTGGAGTCAACCCTGCAGATCATGCAGTGGTGTGGTGGGCATTGCGTGAACGGCCGGGGGGACACCCAGTTCTGCCACAGTTACGGATCTGGGCCTCACTCCATCTCAGGTTCTTTCTACTCCTACCTGTGTACTGAATAGACATGGTCCTAAGGTATGTGCCTCTCTCGCCCCTCTTTCTGTCCCTTCCTCCCTCCTTCCATTCCATCCCACACTCTGTGTCTAATAAAAATTACACAGTGGCACCTGAGTCAGTCAACTGCTAGACCTTCAAATTCTCATAACACTGAGGCCTAAGAAAATGCAAACAGCAGACAGAATGGCCAGAAGAAACCCAAAGACAATCTGCTTTCAAATTTATAACAAAATAATAGTAGCTCTTTTATTTTTTTCAACACATCCTATACCCTGTTAATTAAGCACTTTACATGCATTTTCTCACTTAATCCCCACAGCCCTACTGTGCAGGTGTTATCTCCGTTTCGCAGATGAGGAAACTGAAGCTCAGAGAAGTTAAGACACTTGTCCAAGATCCCATAGTTACATAAATGACAGGGCCAAAATTACCTCTAAGATACAGGCAGAACCAGGTTTCGAACTCCAGTCTGACTGCTGAGCCCAAGCTTTTAAATACTGTGTCCCTGCACCCCCTGTACCCCTGTCTTAAAAGGGCTCTATTCTTGAACATAAAACACAGGCTTGCAATTAGATTCGGTTACATTTTACCTGGGGGAGGTCTTGTTATTTATCTATGTGTCCTTATACCAATATCAGTGTTCAAGTTTAATAGCGTGCAATTTCTGAGACTGTTTTTACAGTTGTTCAACCTGCCTTTACTTTCTCACTTTTGTATTTTTAGATGCATCATCCCATTCAGATGAAACCTGCAGATAGTGAAAAGTCAAACGGTAGGTGGTGACCAACTGTCTCATATAATGTCTGTGTCTGTAAGTTAAGGAGTCAGCTTGGGGAGGGAGATGCCAGCCCCCGTTGCTTTTTCCTCGGAAGGGCAGCGAGAGCTGCTCCGGGGAACTTGCACTCTAGCTGGCACGTCTGGAGAGCCTGAGCCTCACTCTCCTGCCTCATTTATCTCTGGTGCGAAGGTCTGGGAAGGTGTTACCAGAAATGGCTTTTCGTGTCCCCCTCTTGTGGACTTGCTCAGTGTGGTGACCCTGTGGTCTTTGGCTGTTGTTTATCTGCTACCACAGAGCAACACAGGACACCTGATGGGGAGGAGTGACCTCACGCTGTGCAGGGACGAAGGGCGGGAAAGGGTCACTCTCTAAGAACCAGGCTATCTTTTTTCTCATTTCCATTTGTTCTTCTTGGGCTCGGAGGCTGTCTTACTGCACACTTCTCCAAATTGTACCAATGCATTTGCATCCAAATTCATTCAGAATTCAGTCTGCTGATTAAATAAACATACACTCAATGCAAAATATGCATTTGATGAGGTCCGTGATATAATTGAGATTTGACTGTCCGAGACACGAGAGGGTTGATAGCAACATTTCTCTCTCAGGTTTTTGCTTCCACTTACACGAGCCTTCTGTCCCTGTTTTATATTTTGAATTTACTGAAATGTGTGTTAAAGGACTCTTCTACCTTCTTAGACCTCAGAGCTTTCCTGTCCCACAAGACTGACATAATCAGCGTGGCTTCCTTCCACAGGCAGCTCTGCACCTCATTAATTAGTAATCAGGGCAGAAGCCATGCACTCAGAGATCTGCATATCTGCAAATGTAAATTATGATTGGTCTCTAAATCTCTCCACAAGGTATTTTTTGCTAATTGTAGTGCATCCCATTTTCTGGCTTCTTCACAGACTAGAAAGTTTTGAAGAGGACCCTACCTTGTGTCGTGGGCTGCTAGCCCCCAGTTCATGTGTTGGGGAGTAGACGTTAGTGCTTTGCCCGCCATCAGCCACACTCTTCTCTGAGAGTTCGTTCCCTACATCCTTTGCTGCTTTATCACAAGCATGGCACTTGGTGTCAGAGTGCCTAAGATCTGCCACTGCTTTGTTGTGGGACCTCAGTCAAGTCACTTCATTCCTTCATTAGACAATGAATACTGATTACTTACTGTGTGCCAGGCATGGTACTAGCTGAGGCTGCAGGAATGACTTAAAAAGAAGAACAGGCTGCAAAAGACTGTCCTGACCTCATAGAACTTACATTCAGTCTACTGATCTCTACTCGTCCCTCAGAGACTGAACTTTAATGTCCTCATCCATAAAATAAGAATAACGGTAACTCCCTAACATAGGTTGCCTTTTGTTAAAGATTTGTACAAGAAGTCTGTAACAGTGCTTTGTATATGAGAGAGCACCTCCATACCATGCTACTTATTGCTGTCGAGAGTTTTTCCCTGGTCACATAGGGCTCTGCACTGAGTGTGTCCTCCCCTGCTGAGCTGACAGTTCCTAGAACGCTTTTGCTCCAGGAGTGCATATTTACAGCCTGCTGTATTCCCCATGGAGAGAGGGATCATGCATTCGTGGGATAAATTCTGTCAGTGAAGGTCATCTTGGAGCTTCTGTGTAAAAAGAGATGCTTCCTATCTTTTGGCCCCACCGTTCCCTGAACTGGGTCAGGACAGGGGCGATAGAGCGAAAGTTTATGGAAAAGGCTTTGTCTTAGTTCTGATCAAGGTGTGATGGACTAGAGAGCTGAGTTGGAAATACTTAACCTGAAATACCCAAATAATTAAACCATGAAAAAATTTCTTCTTTTGCATTTTCTGTTATACAGACATGAACCCTGACTTAGAGAACCCTTTCCATAGAGCATCTGCAGAAAGGCCTCAGAATGGTTCATTGCCCTTGCTGCTCAGTGTCTGCTCTGGACACCGAGGGTAATGCTGGCCACAGCAACAGAATAAAACTGCCATGAGCACGCCCAGTTTTGCATGATCTCAAAAGCTAAGCAGGACTAGGCACCATTTTTACTAAGATGAGAGAATACCTAAAAATGACATTTTTCAGGGAGCAATGCAGAGTAGCAATTAAAAACTATTTTGAGGAGCCTGGACCTTATCCCTGGACCCTGCATTTGTTAGCTGTGTCCTTGGTCACATTCTGCAGTCTTACCTGGCTTGTCTCCAGCTGTAACAGGGCACTGTCTGTAGTGGTCTGTAGTTGGAATTCTTCTTGTAACACCTATCTTAAATGGTATTTGAGGAGTACGTAAGTCACCATCTACAAAGAGCTGAGCACAGTGCCTGGCTCACAGTAAATATTCACAGTGCTAAGTTATCGATGTAATTCTGGCTCACTGAGGCTGGCATTTCCAGCCTGGGCTGCTCATGTCACGGCATAGGTCTGTACACACAAGGGAACCCCCACCCCCAGACTTTCTTGGTGGGCCGGTTCTCCCTTTGCTTTGTAGATTGAGCTTCATTTCCTGAACTTCCAGTTTAAAAAAAAAAAAAATGTCCAAAAATATCAATGGACTGAAATCTGCTTTTCAAGTGCTTTTCTTTACGGAGACTCCAGTGGAAGCTCCCCTTGCATAGACATGAATAGAGTTCAAGGTTCTCCTTGGACCTGACGGAGGAATCCAGAGAAATGGGTAATTTTCTAAAGCAAATGATAAATGCTACAAGCCTTTTCTGATTTCAAATGGCAGCTTTGACAGGTAAGCATAGTTTCCAAAGCTCAAAGAGCACAAAGATTTCTTTGGCTCAGATGCTCGAAATAGCTCCTGTAGCTGTGAAAGAAGTACAACAAGCTCTAATTGCACTTTTATTGAGTTTGCTGACATTTATGGATAGCACAAAGGGCTCATCACAGTTAGACAGTTACTGCCTTCATTATCAGTATGTACAGATTTCTAAAACTTGGTATTTGCTGAGCAAGACAGGGCTTCTCATCACAGATTAATTAGTGATGGGCAAATGAATTCCAGAAAAGCTTTTACTCTTTTCAGCCTTTGTCCATCCAGAGACTCTGACAAAGGGAACTTCTGTGGTGAGCTCAGAAATGTTGGACTGCTCTTCGATCTGCCCTGCACATCAGTATTTTACTGAACGGGTTTCCGAAATCTCCCTGGATTTCTATAGCCTGCCCTTTTTGTTGGCTCTGATTTAAGCTGCAGCCTCTAGCACATTTATGCCAACTCACTCATGCTTCTACTATGCCAGGTATCCCCCCCTCAAAAAAGCCCACTGCATTAGCAATAAAATGCTGGGGCCTTTATGAATAACACACTAAATCAATACCCAACTTTCAATAGATGCCGACTTTTTTTGTTATTTTTCAATTGCACATAGTCTAGAGATGGTGCAGGAAGGACATTGGAGGAGGTGTGGGTTTCAGGGACCAACATATGCTAGCACAGACTTACTCTCTTTAATTCTGTGTGCCATTGGAGGGCCTGTTTTCCAGCTTTTAATCCTTCATCACTGTACAAGAAAAAGGTACCAGCAGTGCAAGATTGAAAATTAATTGCAGTTGTGCCATGACTGTTGTGGCTTAGTTGGTTGGACATCGTACCACAAAGCAAAAGGTCTCCGGTTGGATTCCTGGTCAGGGCACGTCTGAGGTGCAGGTTTGGTCCCTGTTTGGAGCGTGTGCGAGAGGCGACAGATCGATGTTTTCCTCACACATCGACGTTTCTTGCCCACTCTTTCTCCCTCCGTGCCCCTCTGTCTAAAAAATAAATAAATAAAATCTTTTAAAAAAAAGAAAAGAAAAGAAGAAAATGCAGGTGCTACATGTGACTCTTATCTAGCAGGGAGCGATAAGGAAGGCACAGAGGTTGCCTTTGGTTCTGTGCTTGGGGCCTTGGTGGCTGTAGGCAGGGTGCACTCTTACGTCATGCTCCTGGCTGAGAGGATTGTTCTTGACTCTGCGGACAGAGCATAAATCCGTCCTGCTTTCACCTTCCAACATCACAACTGGTCAGGGGCCCTTAAAGCTTCAAATCTGGAAATGCCATCCAAGGCTGCTATCTCTCTTCTCAGGGCCTTGGAAATTCCCAGGGCTGGTGTGTCAAGTTCAGAGCTCACAGGAGGCAAGATGACTAAAGATTGTCAGGGAGGATCAAGACCTGCGAGGCTCCAGTACACACAGGAGTAGCAAGGTGTTCCCATCCAGCCCCTTTCTGATTCCCTGGAAGATGTAGAAATAATTTTTAAATTCAAAGTAGAGAGACTCACAGATTCGAAGGCAGTAATTAAATGCCATATGTTAGCACTAACACATTGAAAAGTTGTTAATTAATTCAGGCCACCCAAATCCAGGTGTGACTTTGACAAGTTGTATACCAGGGTGTTAGCAAAGGCTTGCAGTTAGGGATGTTTTAAAAATTAGGTTCCTATCCCCCAAACTTAAAAAAAAAAGGTCCCACTTATCATATTAACCCTTTCTTATTTAAACCATGGAAGGAGAACTTGAAATGATCTCTAGCCTGGAGAACCTTCCAGTTCTGCTATTGCTGTTAACTGATAGCAGTAACCCATCTGCACAGCACTTTGTATATTAAAGTATTTCTCCCTCACTCATTCACTGGTTATCCTAAAGGAAAATAGACTTTTTCCCAAGAAGGCAGAGACCTTATCTTTTAATATATTTATTTTAAATTTCCCTAAAGCACTTAGCAGAGTACTACGAACATGGTAGGTTTACTTAAGCAATCAGCATTCTTGTGGATTGAAAAAAATAAGTGAGAAACTCACTGCCTGTGAATACTTAGGGAAAAACCCACCAAGAAATTCATCAAACATTGATGAAAAAGTTAAGTAAATTGAAGATAATTATATTTATTTAAAATGTTGACAAGGCTGTTTGGAGGGATCCTTAGCGTGGGAATCCCAGGGAGAATTGGTATGAATAAATTTTCACTGGAAAATCAGGAATACCCAAGGGAGAGGGGGCTGGATATGTGTAGTCATCCCCCCTTCGCTGTTAAAGCAAACATGGCCCAGCTGTTGAAACCACAGAGCAACCTTGACTAGCAAAAGATTGCAGGCAGCCAGCTTCCTTTAAGCACGCGCGCACACACACGAAAAAAATTCACACTTTGAATAGCATATGGATGGTGTAGGTTTTCGGTTTTTTTTCATTTTTAACTGATAGTCATTACCGAAAAAAAGTGAGAGTTATCCTCGGTCTACCTGCCTGTCTTGAGTTTCCCCTTCACGGTGATTCGAAAGTCAGAATTTCTTAAATGGCTTCCATTTTCTTAATGCTCATCTTAGGTTTCTAAAAAATCATGTTTTCGCTTACTGAGGAGCTCCTCGTTTTGTTAGTGTCATATCCCTTTTAAGTGCAAAATCTACAAGTTGTTTTAGCTAAATACCATAATCCAAGGTTTACCAGTTAAGCCAAAATCCAACTGGGAATGTATTATTTGCTTTTGTCTAAAAACACTAAAACAGATTCTTTAGGAGCAGAAAAAATCGAATAGCAATCTCATCAAGACAGTGGCCACTGCTCCATCGGGGGTGGGAGCCCCAGAGATGAGAGGGAGGGAGGAGGGTAAGAACTGCAACGAGACGTTGTTCCCATCCCACTGCCCCATAGCAAGCGGTTCCAGCTCCCTTCCCCTCCGGTTCTATCAGTGCCGCATCGCCCCACCTGTAAACGGGTCTGGCGTCATCGTGCCCATCCCGGTGTTGGCGATCGCAGACACCCATCGGAAAGGAAGCTGCTTTTCCCGGGTATCTCATGTTTCACAGATCACTCTTGGGCCAGTGCTACCCTTGACTTCCTGTGTTTTTACTTGTTCCCAGGAGACCTTTGGTAGTTCACTTACTCTTCAAGGAGAAAAAAAGATCTTGATTTAAAAAAATTTTTATCTACGTACTGGAAGTCAGGGCTTCAGTGGCCTCCCTCCAGGAATCATCCCATGGCCCCCATTGCCCATGCCTATTTAATGTATCTAAACACAGACAGAGGCCTTGGACCATCTGTCACCTTCCTGATACATGGAGCCCCTCTCTACAGAGAAAGCAAATAATTGTGCCTGTTGTGCTGAAGCCGGGCAGCTTTCCTGCATCTGCCCCCGAAACGGCCCTTACTTATTCCTGAGCAGTTAGTATGCTGTTCCCCACGCCACTACCGGTCCATCCAGTCCCTGCCCATGCTTCTTAAAGGCCAATTTAACTTCCACATTGTCTTCAAGTCTTTCCCAAAAACTGCGGGGCACAGTTCATAGTGGACAGGTACTGTGGAATTGTGGTTGGGACGCATATTCCATGGAGCCCTGGAGGTTCTCTGCATGGTCTCAGCAGCAGCCACAGTGTGGAGAGAGGCTCAGTGGAAGGGTTCTGGGCTCCAGCACGCCCACCCGCATGCGCTTCAGTCAGCCAAAGCATGCTGGCTGGGCCACTTCTCCCCAGTATTTAAGAAAGAGAGAAAGGAAAGAGAAAAGGAAAAAGAATAGAGTTTAAGCCTTCACTTCATAGATGACAAACCAGGTCCACAGAGGTCAGCTCATTTTCTAAAGTCACACATCAGCTTGATAGTTGTGCTGGAACTAGGGCCTGAGTTTCCTAATCCCGGCAGTGCTCTCTCCTTGAAGCCTTGTCTCCCTGCTCTGGGCTTGCAGGAAACAGTCGAGTGAAAAGAAGCCTGGATGGCAGTAGGGTATTAGGTCATGGGCCAGGTTAGGCCACCTCCTTGCCGAATGACCCTGGGCAAGCCCCTTCCCCCTGCCAGGCCTCGGGATCTCTTTTAGAGGTGAACAGAACACCTCTCAAGTCTCCTACTTCCAGTCTGGGGTTCATTTAGCTGTCTCACTTAAGCCCCTCAAAACTGCTCTGTCCCATATAGTAGTCACATGCAGCTAACTGAAATTAGTTGACATCAAGTTACACTAAAAATCTGGTACCTCAGTCACAGTAGCCATTTTTTAGGTGCTCCGTAGCTAGACGTGGCTTCAGCTGCTGCATGGACATCAGTAGAACTTTCCCCATCCCGCCGCATTCTCTTGGACAGTACCTCGTTAGTGTAGACACCTGTGCTACCTCACTGCTTCCCAAATAGATCTTCTGCCCCACCTCCCAGAGGGCGGACACCATACAATGTGACTTAGGTACCAAGAGCAACTGGCCCTAGAAAGTCTAGAGTACAGTCTTGTGGGTTAACTTTCGAGGGAAAGAATAAGAGAAACAGAAATAAAAGCAATTAAATAGCAATGACAAGCTTATAAGGCATATACAGAAAGAAGGTTTCCACAGGGATGGATGGCGGAGCCTTTCATTAAGCCAGGATGATCTAAGGTGCTGCTGCAGCCGGCTGTCCTCTTTAATTCTAATAATGGATTGAATGGAACATGGGAAATAAGCAAGACTTCTCCCTGAGGGGTTCTATGTCAGCCTCTTGCTCTCTCCTAAAAAAAAGACTCCCAGCACTGCCCTGAACTCTGCCGTAGTGGTGCCTGTAAAGCTAAATGTAGGCCAGTGGTCCTGAGCACAAGCACGTAGATTTCGAGGAGAATCTCCCTGGCCATCTGAGGTCAACCTTCCCCTATCTTTACCCTCATCAAAGGTTAGAAATTTGCACATTGCTGTCATGGCATCCAAAGTGAATTTCTGTTCATTGAGGGTCCTGCCTCCAAGTGAGAATAATAATATTGTTCTCTCTTTCTTGTTTTTTTGGTACGGGGCCATCCTGATATAATTCTCAAGTAGCTACAGCCCCATTTGCTTCGGTAGGATCATCTTCCTTTTTCATTGTAACGTGCAGACCACGTGTGCTGGCCTGTTCAGGGCTGCAGAGCCCATGCCAAAGACAGGTCATTTACCGGGCTTCCAGAGAAAGGGTCATCTCTCATCTCCTGCTCCCCTCTGGATCTGTGGGGACAAAGCTATGTGAAATCGGAGGAGAAGGCTGCTTTCTTCCCTCAAATGTTTTGTTCAAAGTGTCGTTTACTGTTTCATTATATCTGCTCCTTTTGTTTTTCCTCTCCTGACCTTTTCCTTTCCTTGTCATTCAAGTTAACAGCTACAGAGAAAGAAAAAAAAAATCTGTCTCCAAAAATATCTCTGTGGAATGGTAGTGTTTAGCAACTACGTGGAACTTGAACATTTTAGTAAACACATTACCATTAGTTTCCAAATGAGGGGAAAGAATTTCTTGGTGTTCTGTGTCCTATGAAGCTATTTTATTAGTAAGAACAAGCTCACAGAGAGTACAGTGTTCAGGAAGGGCAAGGTGGGAGAGTGGAGGCAGCTGGAAGTCCAGGGTCAGCCTTGGGGCCCAAGCTCAGTCTCACGTGACGGACACCCGGTTTGATGTGGTAACGAAGCATTGATTACAAGGGAAAAAATGACACTGGCCTTTTCTCATGGATTATTTTTATCTCCTAGCTGTGGAAGACAGAAAATTGTTCATAGGAATGGTTTCGAAGAAATGTAACGAGAATGATATCAGGGTGATGTTTTCTCCATTTGGCCAGATAGAGGAGTGCCGGATCCTCCGGGGACCCGACGGGCTAAGTCGAGGTGAGTGTGCTGTCACTAAAGTCCTTTCCTGAAGTGCTAATTGGAACTCTGTGTCACAGTCGAGGTAGATGTAGCCACCACACGCAGCTAGGGGTTACCCTGTAACACATCCTGTGTGATTAAAGTTATCCAGCCTGAACTTTTCACCATAGCTGAAATGATCACCTTTTATTTCTTTCGAGTTGGGAAGGTCTTGGTACCAACATACCAGCTCAGGTTCTCACTGTCAGACGGGAAGCCAGCAGGCTGCCCAATTGTCACACATCCCTTTTCAATCTCAAATTGAAGTAGATCCTGGAGGGTGAGGGGGAGACGTGGAAGAGGAGCAGAAAACTTAACTCTTTTCGTCTTAGTTTCTGGCTGTGCCTGAAAAAAAATGTGAAGGGTGTGGGCTTCTCGACAGTGATGTAAACCAAGGAAAAACATCCATGTTTCCACACAGGGCAGAGCAGACATGGACTCAGAGTAACTGGGCCATTCTTGGAGCATCAGGGTTTATTCTCAAACCTCCTGGAGTCCTGAACACAGGGAGTCCATTTAGTGACAGGGAAATGACCTCATCCAGAAGAAGGTTGTAGGCTCCTCTTTGTCACCGTGGTAGAAGCAAAAGCTGCGGCTCCAAGCATTGATGAAAACCAGTTTTCACAAGCGGTTGTACAAAGAAGTTAGAAATAACTATTCTCTTTCCCTGTTTGCCATCCCCTATGACAAAGCCACACACCCCTTTTTTAAAACACGCATGAGGGCTGTCGCGGAGTGTTAACATTCGTCTGACTGCAGTTTCCCGATCAGCCCAGGGAGGCCGAACTGAAAGCAAGTATGTAGAATATAGTTTTCAGTTTCTTATAAGAAATCTGTATTTTTGCAACATGAAAAGGATTTCATCCCATTAATGTAGTTATCAGCGCAAGTTCCATGGGGCTAATTAGAAACGTCTCCTCATCCCCAGCCTGGTTCTGGGACAGCCCTGCCATCCCAAACCACATGTGGAAAGAAAAGGTCGGGCGTTAAGTACAAAGCGCTAATTTTCACCTGTCTCCCTAATTTTACTTAAAGTCAGCACCATGTGCGGAAGAACATTTGTTCTTTTGACTTTTAGACATAAGCTTCATGATGTCAGCTGCCAGAATTGCAAGCACAGAGAACAAAAGCGTTCCACCCACATCCACCTCCAGTTCCCCTAATGGAGGGAGTCAGAGGAAAACTGGAAGGAGGTGGATCAGCTTCGAGCTCACCATCCCTGTATTTTCTTCTGCAGGTGGTTTAAAAAAAAAAAAAAAAAAAGAGGGGAAGAGGCATGGAGATCACAGTTTATGCATTCTCGAACAATTCTGAACCCTTGTTATGTAACCCTCACTGAAAAGATGTGGTTCTGTAAAAACTGCACAAGACAGGATACTGAGGGAGGTCCCTAGGCAGCAGACCCCGTGCCTCTGTCTCATCTGTAGCTTGCCACTTGTGCCATTACCAGTGTCACCCAAGATAGTGCTTCGTGCTGGTGACCCTCACAACCTCTGGTTCCTGTACAACGTCCCAGCAGAAGGACACTAGGGGTTCTGTCCTCCCCCACTCTGTTCCATCCTCGGGAATTCACGCCATGACAGCTTCTAATCATATCTGATCACATTGTTCTTCTGCAGTTATGATAGACATAGGCCCACTTAGGCAGACAAACCAGGACAGAGAATACCAAGGGGACAGTCAGGATGGCTAAACAAAGGATGAAATATGTAGGAAACACACGATAATATTTTTCCAATGCCTTTCTGCTGCCAATTTCATAATTAGAACCACTGCTCTCTCCTGTTATTCTCAGTCACTCTTCTGTGTTTTCATTGTATTTTTTCATGTGCTGAGGCACCTGGCACTGAGAACAGAAAGGCAGGCCTTAAAATTACTCATAGCGAAATTTATAGTGGTTTGGGGGTTAGTGACCCCCCACGTCCCATCCCAGAACTTCTGACAGGAAATGTTACCATAGTCATTTCATCTTCTTACCTCTCTCCCTCAGTTTCCCCATATGTAAGTGGCAGCAGTCGTAATACTTGCCCTGCTCATGTCAATGCATCATTGGTTAGGAATGTGGGAGAGTTTTTTTTGACAAGCTCACCATCCATGTGGTTTACCTGAGACCCTGACTGTGAGTTAGGGAGGCACGACTTCCGTCCTCTCTCTGCCGGGCTGGGTCTGCGCAGCAACCCTCCTCTCAGAGCTGTGCGGTGGGGACGCCGGTGCCCGACATCAGTGCCTGCAATGTCTGGAGCTCCCTGAGCAGACGTGAGTTATTTCTGCAGATGAGATTTTAAAGCAACCACAACTTTCACAGAAACGAAGAGGACACGGGACTTGACAAGAGAATTTGGCCAATGCGATCAGCTGTGTGGTTGATTAATTAACCAGCCCTAGAGAGAAGCAGCTCGTTTCTGACACAAGTTAGGAAAGACCCTCATCAATATTGTATGTGAAGGCCAGCTCAATGTAAAGAGCAGAAGCTTCCTCCCTGCCCTTTTTTTTTTTTTTTTTTTTTTTTGAATAGAAAAGTAATTTCTGGTGAACTGATGAGATTCCCTATGGCAAAAAAGAAAATACTCATTTATAACCATTTGTTCTGAAATATAAAGACAGACAGTGGTAGGTTTTTCAATTAGCAGGACCCAGGGACTCCTGGGTGCCGGGACCACTCCTGAGTCAGTGTATTTGTTAAAAGAAACATTCTCTTTCATGCTACTATTTTGCTTTCATTAAGGAATTGCAGTTTTCAATCAAATATTAATAAGTGTCTCCCATTAGTGGCACCGCAGATAAAGGACGCTCAGCACTTCTGGTCTCAGTGCCTGTTGCTGGCTCAGCTGTTTCAAAAATAAATAAAAATTAACTGAAATGAAAGTCTGGCTGCTCTGAAAATTACCTCCTAATAACTAAGCCAGGGCATAAACTAGTCAATAAGAAAGTTTTTATTGGGTGGTTCACTTTTCTTTTTTTGCTTTTCAGCTACAAGCATGATGCTCCTCCCTCACGGGTGTCTAATGTCATTTCTTCTCTGTCACATCAGTGGTTTAAATTCCTCCCTGATAGGTATTGAGCTCATGTTTCTCCAGGCTTATGGACTCAGTTCCCCTCACTGAACCAGACTGGTGGGCCACGAGGACCCACAACTTGGTGCCTATCAAGCTGCACTATCTACTTAGACTCACTGTCTGTTTAAAAAAAAAAAAAAAAAGCATGATCTATCTACCTGTTGGCAAGAAAGACCATTTTAAGAGTCCCATCATTACTCACCAGCACCCAGGTCTGTCTCTGTCATGTTCCAGGACAGACCCCCACCCCCAGGAAATTGCCACAACTATACACAGACAGCACCTCGCACCCACCAAGCACATTGCAGCCACTCAGCAAGTAGCCAAACTCTGCCTGATGTTGCACAGTAGGCCCACAGCTAAACATGCATTTCCCCTTTGGGGCAGTAACCCATTCTGCCATCTTTTCTAATTTGGAAAATTTGGTTTGAGATGCTTTCAAGCACCGTCAAAATACTCAGCTCCCCCTATAATGGCAGATGAACCTCTCAGGCCTGCTGCATGAGCCTTCTTTGAGAAAGCACACAGCGTGCCAGGGAGCCCACACACAGCGAGTCAAAGGAGATGTAGGCTCCCAGAATCAAAGCGTGAGGCTGTGAGCTAGTGCACTTATGTGACAGTGTTACCTTAGCATGCTGACTTCCTAAAATACACCTTTGTTCCCACCCATAACCCCACAGTCAGAATGGACTATTTGGGCACAATTTACAAGGTTTTTCGCACCATGGAAACTGCATATTTGTAACTCAAAGACAACGACAGAATTTATTTCATGTTTCTTTCCCAAAAATTGCAGTCGAATCTCCACTGCCATTTAAGGTAACTTTCTCTTGTTTAAGAATATTCCAGCTGTGTTTATGGTATTCCAAGATTCTCCTGCCAAAACCCTTGACAAATGAATTGGCAATATTTTCAGGGATGTTGGCGAGCACAGACTGGATCCAGCCATCACATCCTCATTTGTTTTTGTTATATCTGATCAGGATGTGAGGATAGGGTGTTTGACTCTTAAAACATGTACACAGAGGGGGACTCAGTTTTGATCACACCATGTTAGTCTTGCCCACATAATACCTTAACATTCAGAAACTTTCATCAGATGCTCCCCGGATTATCACCTGTGCCTTGCCACCTTGCTGTGGACACAGTCTTCCATTCTCATCTCAGGGATGAGATTTTGCCAGCTATTAAGTCCTAGGCTGCACTCGGCCTCAGGTGCCATCAGTGAATGGGCTCTCCATGCCAATTTCAAATAAATGGACCACCATTGGGAATGGTTGAGTAGAGTATTAATTTTGGTGCTCCATTATTATTATACTGATAACATGTTTAATAACCCTTGCCACTGCTAAGAAGGATACAGTGAGGAAAATTGGCTGCGGTATGATCTTTTTTCGGCAGAATGAGAATTTATAAACAAGTTTTGCATAGGTTGAAATCTCCTTCATGCTGCATGCGTTATTTTAAATTATGCTTTTTTCAGTTGAAATATAGCAGGCTGCTGTGCCTTTTTCATAGAAGTAGCACAAAAGAGGCCCAGGCATTGTCTGTGCTTTTTAAGGTGCCTGTATTTTTTGTGTGCGTACAGAGCAAGAATTCATCTAGTTCTCGAAAAATTCTCTTGCAAGCCAAGAGGAGAGAGAGAACACCTGAGTTAAGCTATCCTTTCCATTGAAATGACAAGTGTAATAGATGTGTTCCAAAGTCTTCCCTGTGACAGGGCTACGTGCTTTCCTTAGATCCCGTCTGTGGGAGGAAATTACTTTGAGAAACCTTTCCCCAGTCAATCATTTATCTGTTTTAGCAGCAAGAGGGCAACCTCACTGAAATAAAAGGAATTAAACTCCTTTCCTTGCTACTAGCCATCTCTCACTTTCTGAAAGTGGAGACAATAAATAATTGCGGAGTTGGGCACATTTACAGATGGAGATTTTTCTTCTTCTTCCTTTTTTTTTTTTTTTTTTTTGCTATTATGTTTTTGGAGGCCTTCACATGGTAGTGTACAGACTACGTTATGTAACCCTGCTGTCCCCCAAAAATGTAGCTTCACTGCCTAGATACACGTATCTTTTCTCCCAAGTCTGCTTTCTCTTGTGTTTTGGTCAATAGTCTGGGAACTGACTGCCAAGACAGCACATACAACAGACTAGAAAAGTTAAGGAGTAGACCCCCACAGGATTGGAGCCTGTCAAGACTTTGTGCACCCAGGAGCACATTTTATGTAGGAAAAGAGGGCACTTATAACCTAAGTTATTTCTGTCCATGGAGAGCCGCCTGGTTAGCTTGCAGAAGGAGCCAGCAGCCAATCTTGACTATACAATCTTGGTGGCAGGAGCTTATGTGGGTGAAAAGCCACAGGTTTGAGGTCTACCCCTGAAGAGCCACCGTAGCATTTTCAGCAGTGTTGAGAAGAAAATTGAGATCCAACCACAACACCACCATGACCTATTGTTTTAAAGAAATTACAAAGGTTAAAAAGCTACCAATTCATGAAACATCTGGTTGTGAAGTTGCTTAACTTCATCCAGAGGAGCAGAGAGAGTGAAATTTTTCAACATGTGCTCTTGCTTTATAAATGACACAGTGATTTTCTCTCCTAAGTAACTGAACACGGCACACAGTACAACACTGGACAGAGCCCCCAAGGAGACAACATCTCTCTTAGTGTGTTACTGCCAATAGAAGAAAAAGGTTAAAGGAGTCACCAGATTTGTCAGATCATTTATTTTTGGCTAGGATGAGGATCATATAATTAGAAGCATCAGTGGAGCTTTAATTGCAGGTTTCATACACGAAAGGGCAATGGGTTGAGTTTATAGAGGTATAATTTAATTGTTCTATTGCTAATACTCTTGTTTTTAGACCTGTTAATTACTATATACCTCTCTCTAAGTTATTTACAAAAGTTCTGCTTGTTCTGAAATTGTGGTAAATGCATAAACTGTGTCTTATTGATTTTTGTTGACATTTTATGTTTTTTAATGCCTTCCTAACCTCCATTTGGAAACTGTCAGTTTGGCACATGTTCCTGGATAATAAGAGCAAATGAAGTGAATGAAACAGTTCTTTTTGACTATACAAAGCAGTTAGTCCAGGCTTCACATGGTTTCAAATATACCTCCATTAGATTATTTATTTGCTTTTGCCTCCATTGTACTCTCAAGATAAGAAATGGGAAAAGAAAAGTCTCTTAGTGTTATTTCTTCTGTTAATAACGTCTGTGATAATGACAATGTTTTTGAAGAGACATTACTTTGAAATGGATGGTAAATTTGGGATGCTGTCATTTTACAATAGAGCTGAGTATCAGTATGGAAGCCGGTAGAGGTACTGTCATCTGTCTCACACTCTATTGCACACGTCATCTAGGCACCTTAGAGCAGGTTGCCAAATTGCTTTTATTGATGACAAACCTGCAACCAGTATAAGTACAGGCAGCGTGTGTGAGTAAAAGCTTCACCAGCTGCTCTGACGTCAGAGAACTCTGAACAGCTGAGCATTCCTAGTGAGCTGTACTTCAGGCTTCAGAAGGCCAGCTGAACTGGGAGGTGAATGTGAGATGAATCTGCCATGCACTGAGAGTTTTATGTATTAAAAATTACAGCATAATGCAAAAAAAATGCATTGACTTATTTTATGACTGGATGTTGTTGTGCTTTTGGGTTGATGGGCAGGCATTGTTGTTTGATAAAAAGGTGCCAGTACAGTATTGACTTGATAATCTCACCAGGTACCCATGCAGAGCAAAAGAAGGAAATATGGTTTATGGCTCACAAACGGACTTATGTAAACCAAACCAGCCACTGGTTGTTTAGACGTAGAACATTCTATTTGGCTTCCTGGCAACAAGGGCAACCATCTCACCTTGTTGATGCCAGATTTCCACTCTCGCATTCACTCTGAGATGACAAACAGGCTTTTCAGCCTTTCAGCGTTTAGATCTGCTTCATTTGGAAATCTTTTAAGTAGTAATAATAATAATGTTTTGAGTAAATTGAGTGGAACACCAAATTATTCTCTGATACCTAAGTTCAAACTGTGCAAGGCTAAACAAGCTGAAAATCAATGCACTTTTAAAGTCATTAGAGATCCTAAGTGAAATAAGTCTGCATTGCTTTAGCTCAGCTTTTAGTGTGCTGTGGTTTTATTATAAAAATCAGCCTGAATCTGCATTAATTTCACAGTCTTTTTCTCGAAGAAGCCCAAGGGTGCATGATGAATAAAATGTGACTTTGCAAAGGCAGTGTTTGTCTTAGTGAAAGGGGCAGGGGCCGTGGAGCTGCAGTGGTGACCTGCCTGGCGGCCAGAGCTGCTACAAGATGCAGGACCAGGCGCTAGAGAGTCCAGTTATTTTTCAGAACAAGAGAAAAATAGCCATGGAATGTGCGGTGGGTCTCACAGGAGACAGTCAGAGAGATAACGTACATTGTCTTGTGAATGCTAGATTTTAGATCAAATCGCTGATGCATATCAGAAAGTCACAACTTCCAAAAGTCATAAAGATTCTACACAAACAAAAAAAATCCAATGTAAATTTAAAATTTTTCCTTTATGTGCAGTGTTGTTTCTTCTCAGAATAATAGAGCATTTGTTTTTCTTCGTGATTAAGAAGTACTGGTTTGTGCAGGATTTGGTATACTGCTTTACTTCTGAATGTCATCAATGTATATTTATACACATATATTTTTAACTACCCAGAAGAGATTAGATATATTTATTTGCTGACATTTCAAGCTCTTGGAGTTTTATGCACATTTACCCTTGGAGGATTTTATTATTTGCTGCTTAAAAATCAACACTAAAATTTGAAATCCAGAGCCCTAACATGTGGATGCCCTAAGTAGAGATAATCAGCCAGGCAGAAAATGTAAAATAGCAACTTTTTATTTTAGAAAATGTAAACTAGATCTTGCTAATTTCAAACCCGTGGCTAGAAAGAGTACCCAACTTCCTTCTCCTCCTCTCCATTTAAAAAAGAACTAAACTAATCAATCAGCAGATCTTTCTACTTTGGTCAGATTAGCAAGTCAGCACTGTGAGTAAAAAGCAAAATACGATACAACCAAAGAGAGAAGTTGTTTATTTTTATGTACTACTGAGAACAGTGTCGTCCTGTGGCAGTTCTCGTAGACGTGTTGGTTTAACAAGCGTCCAACCCTTTTGTCTTGTTGTTTTTTGTCTTTCCTGCTCCCTGTCCCCTTGTTTCCCACAGGCTGTGCGTTTGTCACATTTTCTACAAGGGCAATGGCACAGAATGCAATCAAAGCCATGCACCAGTCTCAGACCATGGAGGTACTGTATCATCTGCCCTTTCTTTGTTTTCTTTGTGCAAATGATGGGGATGGTAACGCAGTTCTCTCCTGTGTGCATCGTTCACATGACAATCACAGATTTAAACTTCCACCATCTCTCTCCATTCATTCATACTCATTCTCTCCCCTCTCTCTTTCCCTCTCTTTTTCTCTCTCTCTCTGAATCTTTCCCCTAATGACTTGAAATGGATTTAGGAAAGCCTTCCACCTGCTCTCCATTATTTTTTGAGCCTTTTATTACAGCGGCCAAGGGTCTGCCATGTAAGGTCATGATGCAGTATAAGCCAAGTAGTATTTTGTACCTAAAGGGTCACATCCACCCTTCAGTCCAGGATTAGTGTGGATTAAATATGGACAAACACCCCTCCAAATTGCAACTTGCCCTGTGCTCACAGGGTTCTTTTTGTTTTTTAATGTGGGATGAAGTTATCTTTCGTCAAACAGAATTGTGTTTTTGCATCAAGAATGTTGGAGAAATTTACTATTTCTCCCACTTCATTTGAACAGTGAAAATGCTCGTGGATGAGAGTCCCTTGAAACATTAGATTTGTCTTCTTACTAAAAAAAAAAAAGAAAAAGAAAAAGAAAAAAAAATGAGCAATAACCCAGAAACATAAAGGCTCAAGTTTGGTCTCCTAATGAGACATAGCGGATTTAGGGGAAGATAAATACGCTGGCGTGGGTGTTCACCCACCAATGCAAAATAGATGGCTCTATACTTTTAGTCTGTGATTTGGGTCATGGCCTTTCAGAATTTTGCACAAAAGCATTCCAAGAGTGATATGCTGTTACTTATTCTGTATTGTCTGATAGAATCATTTGGGAGTGCATGTGCTGCTGTATTACGTACACTGTATCTTTGTGTATGGGTGATCTCCTCCACAGGCAGCCTTGTGGCATTATCTGAAGTTATGTTTTTCATCTTTGGGGGTAAAAGATATTTTCGATTTTATTTAATCTGCAAAAATTTCTTTATTGACTGAGCTTTTTTGGCCTCCATTTTTGGGGGGTTTTATTTTTATTTGTTTGTTTTGTTTGTTTTTTGCAATGCTGCATCTCCCAAAGCATGCTGGGAGCTAAGTGCTCATTATGCGTCATGTTCTCTGGGCACCTTTTTTATGGTGAGCCAAAAGGTGGGCGGGAAGGGGGGAATGAGTGTGCATGGCCTTGTCATTAAGTGTTTATTGTACTTTTCTGAGTTTTGATATCAGCATTGCAAAGCCTATCGTCTTTTTCGAACCTCATTTTGACTTTGATATTCCTAACATATCTTATATAATCGCTGTGTTTTCCTTTCAGTGCAATGCATTTTTAAGACACTCCCACCCCCCTACCTGAAAGCAAGCTCAGGTGAAAATCCGGCCATGATAGGAGATAATTAGCAGGATTTGAAATATCTAGGAAGCCAATCTTGTACAACATGCAATTACCTATGTGACATAGTTTTTGTCCGTCCCCACCCCCACCCATTAACTTAGGCTGCTCCATTATTGTGGATCAGTCTGATTTCCAGCTTCATTTCAGTTTGGAGATTAAAACCGAAGTGCTATTAGGAAAAAGAAAGTCTTTACCTGTATTTATTATCTTCCATGTATGTGTTTCATCCTTAATTATTTTTATTTTCCATAATTTAGTGATTTGTACCTGAATTGGTCTCATCTTAGATAATTTTTTAGTCTAAATTCTTTCAGCTCTGTTAGAAACATTGCCACCCCAGCGTCTTCGCTCAGAGCCCCCTAAGTAGAGCCACAGAGGGGCTAGTGTGGGGGCCTGGGCTCCCCTGTTACCAGAGAGGGAGCGCTCGAGGAAAGGAAGCAGGCTGGGCCTGAACCTGGCCCAGGGAATAGTAGGCTCTCATAGTGAAAAGATTCTGCTGTAGAGAACGGTGTGTACTGATTCTTAAGAAATCCTTGATCCTTTGTTACTGATATCTATTATTTTTTAAAAAATCGAATTGGTGCACATGTTTGAAATCTGGACATCCATGCTTAAAGAATGGGGCCCTCAGACACCTAAATGTCTTGTTTAATTAAAAAATATTGACATTGGAATGGAAAATTATACATATGCAGTTACATTATAGTGGTACAACTGAAGTATGTTTTCTTTTTTTAACGAATTACATTATTTTCAGGACTCTGGCTCACATCTTTAATCAAGATGTATTATCTAAGAGATTCGAATTGAAAATGATGTGAATGTCAAAGTTTAAAAGAACACGTTTTTTAAAATAATTAATTTATAATATTGTACCTTTTATTTTTCTACTTTCCTCCAATCTATCCCTATCCCATTTTTCCGTTTCAAGGTTTAAATAAGTAATATTTGAGCTATAATCATTGGCCTGATTTTCTGCTTTTTATCATCTTTTCCTATTTAAGGAAGAAGAAAAACAACAGTAAATGTACTGTTAGGAGGAGATGCTATAATTTGTTATTGGAACAATTTGATAAAGCAATAATAACCCTTTTCCATGCAAAACCCTTTCTCTATATAATTTTCCTCTTCAGAGTATTTTGCCCTCTTTAAGGAATGAAGTGCTGAAATACGGAGCAGATGAAGAAAAATGAAGCATAGCTTTTTTTTTAATGGTGGAAACACTACTTTTATGCAATTTATTGACATTTAACATTCTGTACTATGACTATGGCTACCAGAGCTGAAGACCGATATGCTGGAAACTCAACTGAGTCACCTCATTTTTTTCCACATTTTTTGGTAATAACAGACATGATAGCTTCATGTCTTCATAACTACCTCCCCAATAACTACCCAAGGTGATAAAAAAAAATGCAAGTTTGTTTTTTAGGAGAAGGAGAAGTGACCCAAAGGGAAGAGAAAGGAAAAAGCTCATTTAAATAGGAATACAAAATTTCTGAGAGGAGTGAGAGAGGTCTATTATCATGCTGAGTTTCAATAAAAGTTTTTTTTAATCACTTGGGTAGAATTACTTCTTTTTACCTCAGCAAAATTTTAACAGCTTTAATTATGATGAAAAGTGAAGGCAAGCTATACTAATAAGAAGAGATGGGGCGGGAGGAGAAAATGTTTCTGCTGAGTATTTACCAAATACAGATATTTAAAAGGTGCTTCCAAAAGGAGGGCTTCTTCATGCCTTGAGGAGTTAGGCCCTTTGTTTCCCTAATGATTTCATCTCTATCAAACATGAATTCCTTCTATGATATAACCCTTGGCCATTTCTCACTACCCCTCCTCCTTTCCTTTTAAAGGAAATGAAACCTGAAAGAAGCACCTAGAAGGCTGAGATCTGTTAGAAAAAAGAAGTCAAATAGACTCCTCCCTCTACCATTTATGCTATATCTCCTTTGATTAGACTATACTTGTAATTTTTTTTTTTCACAGTAGCTCCGGGACTGTGGATAATGTAGATATAATACGGAAGGAAGAGAGAGATTTCTGAAAACATGGGAACAGTAACATTGGTCATTGCCTATATTCTGTGACTATCTCCTTCCTTCATCTATGCTTCTGAAACAAATCCACTTCTGATTATATTACTGGATCAATATGATCCCCACAGTTTAAAAATACATAACTGAACATCGAAAAGAGTAAATAAACAGATGAATGAGAGACACTTTTATTCCCATCACAAACCACCCCTCCCCCATCCTTGTCCCCTGCTCACACGTGGAAAGAGGCAGACACGCAAAACAGGCCTATCTTTCAGACAGGCGAACCATGAAGCTTAGTTAAAGAACATTGATGAGGTCTCTTGTCTCTGAGGAGGTCCTCGGAAGGTTGAAGGAAGACACATGAAGAAGGAAAGAGAGGCAGTTTTATAATGAGAGCAAGAAAGCAAATGGCTTCACCGACCACCAGATCCCCAGAGAAACCAATGACAGTATCCGGAAATTTCTGTTGATGGTACAATTCAGAGAAGAAGAAGGAATATCAAACCATTTTAAAACCATTCCAGACACTTCCATGTTTCTCCAGGATAGTTCAGAAAGCTAGATCCAGTGCTGAGTTTCATGAGCGGATTCGACCAGGCTGTAACTCCCTCTTCACTTTCCGCTGTGTCTGACCACAGGGCTGCTCTTCACCTATTGTGGTGAAGTTCGCTGACACTCAGAAGGATAAAGAGCAAAGACGCCTCCAACAGCAGCTCGCACAGCAGATGCAACAGCTCAACACTGCCACCTGGGGGAACCTGACGGGTCTGGGCGGACTCACCCCGCAGTACCTGGCGGTAAGTGCTGCAGGGCACTCAGTGCGTGGTCCCCACGAGAAGAGGGGAGCACACCCACTGCAGCTCTTACAACCTACTTGTCCCCTAGGTATGCCAAAGAATTCATTTGGGGGACACTTAGTCTCAGGAAATTATTGAAATCAGCACTGATACAGAATATTTTTCCAAGCTAAGTGGGTTAGCATAAGCACATGACTAATTTAATTCTTGCCTGATACAGGCTGAGCAAAGCCCCACAAGGCTAAATTTCCAACCCATGTTTGAGAGACATAAAATCCTGCATGAGAAGGGGTGTAGTCCTCTCAATAGGCAGTAATTTAAGGATACTGAGGCAGCTTTGGCTGGAGGACTCACAGCCTCAGAGGTTAGTCCATTCCAAGTCAGGACCCAAATGAAATCCCCATGGAACTTTCCTTCACTGATCCTGGGCCTTCCCAGTGGAACTCTGTCGACTAGATTAAATATTTCTTACTTTATCTATTTGATACCAAAAATTAGATCCGATTTCAGGCCAAATAGACCCAGTTCTTTCCGTCATCTCTCACATTTCATTGTTTCTAAACTCTACTTTCTTGATTTTTCTTAGAGCCACCTGTTGTAGTTTACTGTCAATGTCTTTATTAAAATCCAATCACCAGAATTTAAGACAATTCCCCTGGTTAGACCTGAACAGCACAGAGCAGTGACCCGCTAGTGTGGACTCAAAAATCTGCTGGTGTAGCTTGAAGAACGGCATTTGTAGTAACCGTGTCGTGTGCTACACGGAAGACAGCTAATGTGCCTCTAAGTTTTTCTTTATCTTTCCTGAACTTCCTGCCAAACCATGCTACTCTACTCCATTTTTCTGTTTTAAAACCTAAATGCCCGACTCCACATTTATTAATATAATTTCATATTGTGAGATTGGGCTTTTTCCCAGCCTCTGCCAGTGTGTTTGTGCGCATGTTTGTATGCGTGTGTCTGTGTGTGTCCTAACTCGGCCTTCCCAGGATTGTATTATCCATTAGACTGACTTTGTCTCAAAACCTGTACTGTTCTGCAAAATAGTCCTCCCTGTGGTTTTGACAAGTCAGACCACTCTGTTTGTACAGGCGAGAAAAGGGAGAGTCGGAAAGGTTAGTTTGCCTGACCCCAGGTCATGCCACCGGCGTTCCAGCGGGCTGCAGCCATCTGTGTGTTCTCTCCGTCTTGCCATGTTGCCTCTCAGAGAACAGATATGTCTCCTATTCCTTTTTTGCCTGCTGCGTCCTGCATGTAATAGCTACTCGATACATGTTGGATTAACAAATGAGGAACATGTTTCTCCTGTCTTCGCCTGAGTCCTTGCTAAAACCATTGGCCGAATTACTGTCACTCTCACGCCATTTCTCCATCTGATCCACAAAGACACTGTGGGAGATTTTGCCAGAGGTCTTGCTATATATGCTCTGCCAGGTCGTCTTCTTGGTCTACTAGTCTAGAAATTTTAAGAGACAAAAAAAACTAATGTGTCTAACTTAATTTATTTTTCACAAATTTGTGCTTTTCAGATGTTCACAGACCATCTGTTTAATGGTGTATATAAGAATTTTTACCAGAGATTGAAGTCAAGCTCACCTCTTCTTTTCATAGTTTCTAAGAATCCAGCTCCCAGCTCCACCGTTTCCAAAAACCAAGACACATGTGCCCGTCACTGGTCTCTGGCACGTCTCCTGCGCCCCACCACGTACCAAAATCTCTGGCCATGTTTCTTTGGTCACAAATGCAAAAGATTTCTGTGCTCGGGAAGAAAATTAGTCTCATCCTCATTTAGAAAACACATTTCTGCACACTCTTTCCTGTGTTTTCTCCAGCTTTGAATTGGAAGTCCATTTCCGTGAGGGCTCTTGGCCCTCAAGGCATCGCCTGCGTCTGTGTTGACGGGTAGCTCCCTCCCGACTTGAGTTCGCCAGAGAACCGTTTGCAGTGGGCGGAGCCCCAATCATATTTTAATGACACTCTGGTCTGCTTACCTCAGTAAGGTTTTAAGTCCTCAAAATATCTTCAAAGCTTATATACTTTTACTTTAATTTTTACAACTATCTAATAGAAAGAGGGAGCAAGGAGGTCACAATCACAAAAGAACAGGAAACCCAAACAATCCAATCAAAATAAGGGATTTTTCATCAAAATGGATAATCCCTGGCTTCTCCCTCTTCCTCTTTGTGAGTGTGTATGTCTCTCTGTCTTTTTCTTTCTCTCTGTGACATCTAGATGATAGACAAGCGTGGGCAAAAGTAGATTAAACTACCAGCCATTATTACTTAGAAGACAAATCATAAGTAAGGATACAAAAATAGCAAGAAGGAGATGATGATAAATAATACAAATAAATACAATAATTAATAAGTAACAATACAGGAATAAACTCTGTTTTGTGTACTCACAACAGTAGGCCTACCTTTGCGCACCCCTATATTCCAACAAGTCAAGAAGGATGAGTGAACATTAGAGACATTTTTCTGGTAACTGTTAATATCAATCCCCATAACATCATCGTTACTAAGTCTTTGGTTTAATTAGCCACTGATACTTCACTCTGCTTGGTGCTTTCAAGTCAATTGATAGATGCCTATTTTTGAGTCATATTTCTATCATGGAGTTTTTTCTATTAAACTGAAGAGCCCTTCACTTACCCGGAGGAATGGCGGTCCTCTGCATTATATTTTACAGAGCTCCAAATAAATTATGAAAGCTCTTTTTTTAAAATAGAGAACTCCAGATCTTTTTCCTCCAAAGCACATAACAATTTTCAATCATAAATTTGGAGTGAATCTATGCTTCTTGGTATTTATGTACCTTTGAGTAGAAGAGGTAACTATATGCTTGTTTCTATGTACAAACTGTGTTGATAAACCTTTAGAGCAAGAAGATACCAATAAATCTAGTTGAACACTTAATATAGCACCAAAGTGTTAACCTATAATTCAAGTCAATTGGGCAAATATAGGAGCATTTTAGGAGAGTAACCACATGCGTATACCTTGTGGTAGCCCCTGATTCTATGTGGAGGAAAATGTGTTTTTGAAATCTCTAGGGAGAAATCAGATACCTTTTCACAGATACGTTAATTTTTGAAAAGATCCTGACATATTTGTAATGCGCAGTACAGCATCACACCAGGTACTACTAAGTTTTGACAAAGTTACTCTCTGCCACTGAAAATCATCTTTAAATGGGTGGCCACCATCTTGGTCATGTAGTCATGGCTGTGAATAGACACATTGATGTCTGTAGTTGTCATGCTTTCTCTGTTGGCCCAAAAAACAGCGGATCCATGTGCTCCTAATCCAGGATGAAGGGAACTGAGCTGTGAAAGCAAGTGGAAGAGACAGACCCCAATTGACAGAGATGAGTTACAGTAACTACCAGACTACAGAGAGATAGCATTAGTCATGCCATGTTGATTTCAATAGACTTAACACCTGGTTGTTAAAAAGAGTGAATTGATTAAATGTTTTAAGGCAGCAGTGTTATTGAGTTTCCTCAGTGCCTGTGTTTCATAATAGAGATTAGACATCACTATGGATTCACAGCCCCAACTCTGGGAACCTTCAGTCCATTAAGAGACAGCAGCAACCAGCTCTACAAATGTAACAGAAACAGGATGCGTCCCCAGTTTAATTCGGAGGTTACTTAGCCCTCCTCTCCACATTGTGTTGACGGCACACTTTCCCTTCCTTTGCAGCTTCTGCAGCAGGCCACCTCCTCCAGCAACCTGGGTGCGTTCAGTGGCATTCAGCAAATGGCTGGTAAGTCATGAACCGTACCTTTCTTCTGACAGTGCTGTTGTCTGAATTTGAGGGGGTTCGGAGGGCAAAGAAAAGCAGCAGGGGAAGAAAGAGAACAAAGAGCAATTACCATGGCTCTTCCCTCTCTGCTTTAGGTGTTAAAATTAGAATAGCTGCTGGAAAGTTGCTCTCCTACCTCTGGCATTTCCAACACTTATAGCAATGAGGGGATGGAGAATTCCTGCATAGTATACTCATTTCCTTATTTTTAAAAAATGGGATTGGCTACTGGGGAATTTCCAGCAAGATTCTGACATCCAGGGCAGCCAAAATGATTAACATCCTTCTAAAATTTTAATAACTGGCGGTCAATAAAAATGGTCTGACCTCCATAATGAAAGCCAAGATTGCAGGCCTATCTTTTCTACAGTGCACAGTCCCCTGATGTCCACAGACAGTTACCAGGGTGCCTTTTTCACTTTCGTGCCCCAGTTGACAGAATTGGGCATCAGATGCTTTTATGCAAAACTATAATCTTTGTTCTTGAGAAAATCAAAGTGTGGCTGGATTTGAAAGCCGGCTCATGAAGGGTTTCTGTTTCTAATGAGCTGTGTCAGTAGTAGCTGAGGTGCAGTGATTAGTGAAAGGTCACTCCTGCTGTGTCACCTTCCAGGCTGATATCCTAACTTACCACGGGGCCGGGGACGGCAGCTTGTGCAATAAATCAGAACACAGGTGCCATTAACCTGCCGCGAGGAGCAGTGAGAAAGCTTTTTCCTTGTTTCTTTCCAGAGAGGTGGGGAGCGAGGGCAAGGAGAAGAACAGATTTTTGGCACATTAAAATCAGGCAGTGTGTTTTAATCAAGGACACCCTGAGTCAATACGCAGAATGAAAGCCAGATTTCTTTATCTGTTACTATGAAAACTCCTTTTCTTTCTCTCTCTCTCTCTCTCTCTCTCTCTCTCTCTTCCCCAAATATGTGTCCTTGGTTTTTCTCCTGTGTCACTTTGAATGGATTTGGAAAGACTTGCAAGGAGAATTCATAGGTTTCTCTGTGTACATGTGCTGTGATCGTCCACCCAGCCTTTCACTGTGGCCTCTCGAACTAATGGTGACTTGTTGTCTGATGGGATATATTGTCCTACAGTAAAAACACTGTGGAATTGTTCACTGGGCTTTAAATCTACTGACACTGCCAGCTTGTTCTGTTGTAATCACAGCTTTTGGATTATAAGAAAAAATATTTATGTGTTCAAATGATGAGTAGTTAAGTCATTCGCCAGTATCTTTATGGATACAGTTTAGGAAGCTGGTATTGGAGCTAAGAATCATATTGGATGGTTAATTTATTCTTCGTTCTGTGAAGGGAATTGGAGTGACATAAGTAAAATATTCGGGAAGTTTTCTATGTTTTAAAAAGAGAAAACCTCCAGATTACAAGCGCTAAAATAAATGGCAAGTTTTGTGACACTTTCAGCCAGTACAGGATTTGTTTTTCTTCTAATAGTATGGACCCACCCAGATCCAAAATTAGGGTCTTTGCTTCGAGGAAGCCTCAGGCTCCCCAGCTCCCACAGCTGAATTATGCAGAGAAGGTCACTGGGTCCTCAGGCGACTGCCAAGTGCATCTTCCTGGGCAGACAGCGTGCCCTGTCATTTTTCATTAGGCTGTGCATTCGCCTCGCCAGCCACAGGTCAGGATGCTGGCATTCACCTGCTTCGTGCGCTCATTTAAAGACCGAGGGTATCTGGGAATCATCTTAGAAGGTGCATGGAGCAGATGGCTAATTTAAGGCACTCTGAAGGCACTGGGCCTTCCAAAATACTGCTTTCTTGAACCTTCAGTATGTTAAATCCAGCACCCTGCGTCTGCGCAAGCTGGGAGAGTAAGTCCTGAGCAGTCCATATGGACCCTGGCCTTGAACATTTAGAGTATTAAGGATGTAGATGTCAAGGCTCTGTCTGCTGGGTGATTTTTCTATAAAGCGTGCACTTATTCATAAGCATAATCAAGTCTCATCTTCCCAAATGTTTGAAGCATCATGGTTTGGGGTTTTGTTTGTTTTTTTATCAATAAGGTAAAGTTACATGACATCCTGCTCTTTCGTCTTGTCCCAAAAGTAAGGCTTAACTTGTGTCTTTGCCAGTCATTATAAAGTGGATGGGTAATAGGGGCCACTTCCTACAGAAAGTGTCCCCAGCTCCCCAGGTGTGGGAGGGGTGCCTCGGAAGCCCTCACCTCCTCACCTCCCTTCCTCACCTCTCCGACACTCCTGAGTCATTGGCGCCCTGGGAGCTGGCCGAGGCAAGTGAGTCAGCCCTCCCCCCTCTGAGAGGGGCTCGTGACTATTTTTGAGCAAATGAGTAAACAAATTTATGAACTGACAAACTCAAATTTATGTTTTGGATATGTTCCCAATGGCTCTTAAGTTAAATGCCTGGTTTCTTAATGAAGAAATTTGGCATTAGCCTTATCTCTAAGAAAAAAAAAAATTAAGTATATAAGCTAAGGACAGTATGTTCATAGATATGTTGCCAAGGCTTTGAAATTAGAGAGTTCATACATCACACATGTTACAGTGCACGTGGCCCATAGCACACACGGTAGGCGGGAACCCTGAGGTCCACAGATCCCAAACTCCACCTGCGGTTAAAATGCTCATCAAGTGGCTGAGACTGTGGCACTGTGCAAGGGGGCACCTAGGCAATTCAAACACCAGTTTTGTGTCTACAGTGACATAATAAACTCCACGTATAAAATCCAAGTACTCCAGTGTGGAGCGCTCACCAAAGAGAATGAAATATCATCCTGGAAACTAATAATGTTTTGTTGTGAACAACTCTCAAAACATAATGGTCTATCCTTCTGGAGATTCAAGTTTATCAGCAGAGTCTAAATTGTATGATGTGAATGAGTAAAACACTTGCTGTTTGAAGAGAAAAATGAAATAAATCCCAAAAAAAGAAGCAGAAAAGAAATTTTAGATGACAGGTTACTAAGTAGTTTCATTAATAAAATGGAATGAGACATCAACTATACTCTTCTGTCAAACTAAAGGTAACTCTAAACGTGTTCCATGATTTTATAAAAGGACACCTTTATTAAATATGGATTTTAAAAGGAGAAAATAGATTGGGATTGAATCTTAATCTGGATGCATTTATGTGTACTCTTTGTGCATCTCTGAAATTGATTGGTTTTTCCCTCTTAAAACCTGTAGTAAAAATCATGTCCATTTTTTCATTCAACAATTGTATTTGTTACATGAGTTTCTGAAATCTCAGAAACGTAGGTCTGAGTTTGGGCTCCGACTATGGATATTTCCTGAGGAAGAAGGAAAGGGGAACAAGTGGCTTTTCGGTCATTAATTTCCTTATAACAACTGTCATCTCAAAACAGGATCATTTTAGAAAAACAAGGGTAGTATGTTAGTCTTGTTTTTAACAGAGCTCCCTGAAATAGCCCTGCCATTTATCCTCATAGCGAGCCAAGGACAAAACCACCCCTTTGTTATTACATTACAGCTGGAAAAACTGAAGGATGACAAGTGAAATTAGTAATGCCCCAGTAAGGGGCATGATATGGACGAGGATGCAGCATTCCCAAATAGCAAACAGCTCTATGAGGCAGGGACCCCGAGTGCCCAGTGTTGCAGGCGGGACAACTGAGGCTTAGGGAGGTTAGTTAAGAAACTTGCCCAAAGTTACTACACTGGTAAGTGGATGATCCCAAGTTGACATCCACTTCAGCCTGACCCTAAAACCCAAGCTCTCTTGCCCCCAAGCCTGTGCAGCAGGGCTCAGTGTCTCAGCAAATTCAGGTATGTGTGCATATATACAGGCTGCAGTCCCTTGCCGGCCCAGGAGGTTTAGCAGGTCAAATAATAAACGAGTCCACGTTGTAGGTAATGATGCAGGAACAGCCCCAAATCTGCCCAGAAGGAAGCAATTCTGAGACAGTGCCTCCCTTCATTTTGAACAGTCTTTGAAGTATGTAAGAGTGGCTCGCTTTCTGTTAGGGGCATGTCTTTCCTAGGGCGAGGGATCATTATTAGGAAAGTATAGAGATTATGAAGCAATGGCTGAAGAGAAGAGTATCTTTTGATAAACAAGAGAAAACATTCACTTTACTTCTGATATTCGATACAGCTGCTAGTAATTCCCTTTCAGAATATCTAGTCCACATTTTTTAAGTAACAGTAAAAGTATAGAGTGTAAATATTGGCTTCCAACAACACAGCGATGCTTTCATCAGTTTGAGATGCATTCCCGCAGAAGACTGTCTTAGAATATCTGTGGTAAGTGGGAAGATGGAAGGTATTTAAAAAACTGCACTGGAGGCTGAGAAGCCGGCATTGGAGACCCTCCCGAGGTGTGAGGTGTGCATCCTGGACCCACACGGATTCCTGTGCTTCCCAAGGACTGGCTCCCACCCTCGCACCACAGACACTTCCTGCGAATGTGCTAATGGGCCTTATGAGAACGTTTTATAACCACCCATCTGTCACTTTCTAACAGACCTGATTGGCAAGCACTTGTAACAACTGACATCTGTTCTCGCTTATTGATATGCAGATTTATGGTAATTGCTATGAACAATAAGACACAAAATTACCTAGGGTGAACATTAAATTAAATTTTCATGCCCTTCTCCTTATAAATAATTTTTTTTAAATCTTAAGTTTCAAGTAGGCATATTGCACATCTGTTTTCCACATCATTTCTTCGTTTGGAGAAGGACCCTCTTTTCCGAAGTAATGAATGAAATGTGGAATCCCTGTATTCCCAACTTTTTTTTTTTTCCTGCCATCTTGATCTTGGCACACTATTGGGTTTCATAAAACCTATTTAAATGTTTTGTATTTCCAGTCACCCAGATTATCACCCCTGTTTTGAGGGATGCCCATCCGAGCAGAATTCTGCATACGGTTCAAAGGGGTGGTTTCTCTTCTTCGAAAAGAGCCGTGTGCACACCAGACCCAGCTCTCCCTGTGAGGCCCCCTGCTATCCGTCTGGTGCCCTTTCCGGATCTTTGTGTGGGAGCAGCCGAGAAAGGGAAAGGGGGCCTGGTGGGCGGAGAACCAGGAGGCGCCTGGGCAAGGAGCTGAGAGAGAGTGCACTCAAACACCCCAAAAGGAAAAAAGAAGCGAACCAGAAATGTGAATTCGAAGTGCTCGGAAGCAGAAACCCCTGTTAATGACCTCTGGGACGCCAGTGTTGGCCCAGAGCAGAGGTAAAGGAAGGGAGACCTCGTTCCAGCCGGGAGCAGGCCGTCTGCAGCCGCAGCCCACTGAGGTCTGAAGAGACGGCGATGCGTCGGGAGGCCAGAAGAGCCTGGGGCAGCTGAGGAGGCAGAGGGTGACACTGCAAGCCCATCCACATGGAGCTTCCCGGGCCACTTCCTGATGTGGGACAGATGCCTTTTCTGGAAATTGCATGGCCCCCAGGCCTCCTTCCTAGGTGGGATGGCCACACTTTGGGTGACGGCTCCCTGGTGGTGGGAGCAGGAAGAACCAAGACATCAGTACTGTTGGCAGGGTGGGTTCTGTTTCGTGTCCACTTTGCCGCTGAGGAGTCCAAGGCACCGAGAGTTGAGCACATTCTCTCAGGGTGAGGTAGGCTGGCGGGAGGTGAGGCAGAGCCAGATCGAAACCCAGGTGTCTGAGAACGGGGCCTGCACTCTTCTTGACCAGCCGTGCTGCCTCCAGGAAATGGTGCTTGTTGTCACATTGTCACCAGCAGAGAAGGCTGGGCATTCCAGGCCCCAGGAACACAGGACAGAGTAAAGAAGAGATGCCTCTGCGTTGAGAAAAGCAGAACAGAGGTGCGGGGGGCAGGTATCAGGGCTGGGAATGGGGCCCCCACCCAGAATAAGGGGCTGGGAAGCTGCCCTGCCCACCTCTAGTGTACTGAGCACTTCTGTCTGGAATGAGTGGGAAGGGAGCACTGTGCACTCTGCCAGGGTCTGCCCACAAGCCCGCCGAGATGACAGGGATAGAAGGACAGGTGTGATCCTCCACTGGGATGCACCCCCACCCCAGTTCAGTTTTCCTGTGCTCCTGTCTCATGCCATCAAACCAGAGACTAGTGACAAAGAGTTTCTGAGTCTGGACCTGTTTCTAGAAACTGATAGAAGATTATTCCCCAGCTCCTGGCTTCTCTCTGCTCCAATATACAACAACCTCTTTGGGGGCGGGACTGTCTTGTTTTCTGCTTAATTCTCAGCGTGGTACCCAGGATCTGGCCCATCGTGGCCACTCAGTAACAGACAGATAGGTGGATGGATGGATGGATGAATGGACAGATGGATGGGTGAGTGGGTAGACAGACAGATGGACAGGCGGACAGATACATAGAGGGGCAGGCAAATACAGGCCCTGTTCCCTGCTGATTCTCTCCACCTAACCCTCTCTTCCTTTTCCCCCAGATTCCTCTAGTGTTAGGACTCACAGTGGCCTCTCCTTTCCACTCATCACCCCTGCTTCCTTTGGCCCCTGTTTTGTTTGTTTCTTGCAGTGCGATTGTTGAACAGAGTGCCCCCTTGGCCCCCATGCGGTGTTCCAGAGCCAAGATCCCCCTGCCTGGCCCTTCTAGCTGGAGGCAGGGAAAGGCTGAACAGGGTGGCATGCTCAGGATGGAGTGTGGGAGGGGAGGGGCAGAGGGGACGCTGAGGGGGGCACGCGGGGCTCAGCTGGCGTTTCTGAGCAGAAAGGGCACTGGGGGAGAGAATCTGAGTGTTGTTGGCCAGGCTCCAGGACCTGTAATGGGTATTGGTGGGTGTGATGAGGAATACATACAGTTCTAATAAATATTTGTAGAATGGTTAACTAATGATAGAGGGTAACAGTCAATACTTGACATGTTACAAATACTAAAGAGCTGGCAAAACATGGAGAAAACCAAAAACTTGGTTGGGTCTATGGATAGTACTCTTTGAGAAATTTATGAAAATTTCACACTATTTATTATTCTCTCCATTCATCCTTCATGGATTCACCCATCACTTCTTATGTAGACAGCAGAAAGAGAGAGAGAGAGAGTGTGTAGGTGGACTTGATGATGAATAAGACAACATCTTTGTTCTCATGGAACTGAGTATCCAGGTGTAAAGTTAAGGAATAAACAAAAATAGCGTCAAAGTGGAATACAATTCATGAATGACCCCAGCGTTAGAAACAAGGAGATGAGGGAGTTTGCAGGTAGCACACAAAATGCATGTGTTAAATGCAAACTCCCAGTCTTCCTCTGAGGGGGGTGTGAGCTGTGGCTGGATTGCCACCCCAGCCAGGAAGCTCCGCCACCATAGGCTCCGTGGCCTCTGACTTGAGCCTCTGCCCCAAGTGCGGGGGCCAGTCTCCCTCCAACTCTGGGACTCTGCCATCAGGGCACCGTGGCTACCCCCCGGCCCAGGTCAGAGGAAATGTCCCTGACGAGGGCCGGTGGGCTGGTCCTGGGAGAGTGGCTTTTCGTGTCATTAATCAGTGCCAGATGTGCATTGTGGGTTTTACTTTCAGTGCTAAACTCTCCACTTGTCTGTGCAGCCAGCTGTGGGTAATGTAGTCTGGTCGTCTGGTTTATATCATTAAAACATTAGAGGGAACATTTGTCACTAGACGGCCAAGAGGGAATATATGGGTCAGTATCCATGTTCCTTGCTCCTGGCAACATGACTCAAAGCCCGCACTCACGTCACACTCAGGTGTGAAGCGCATTCAGGCAGCTTTCAGGAGTCGGCCTCGGCCCCTCGCTGGGCCCAGGTGGGTCTGCACTGAAGCCAGGCAGCTCCTGCGTTTCCCCCAGTTCCGTTTCCTCAGGTCAGCCTGGGAAACAAGAGCAGCGCTTTCTCAGCTCTCGCATTCTCATCAATACAACCCTCAAGAGCTTTGTCCCCAGTTGCCTGTGCTTGAGAAAGTGGGGTTAAACTCACAGGATTCCACAAATTCTGCTGTCTTGCTCCTGGGGACCCCTGGAAACTAAGTGGGTTTTGGAAAACAGGTGTTTGAATTTCACCCCAAGCCAAGAGAGCTGGACGTCTCCTGGAAGAAGATAGGGTATCATTTTGAGGAAAAGGAAAACGCATTTTGCGGCAAAGACACCAAGAACTCTTTTCTGAGTAGAAAGAAACTCTGCTAGAGGGAGGGGTTCAGGACAGACGAGCGGGGTCAGGGAGCCGTGCTCCAAGCCGTGCTGAGGCTGAGGGCCCCACGACTGTGGCATGGGGCCTTCGCAGGTATATGTTGCTAGAACGTTCTCCCACCCTTCGATCTGCGCCCCTTCCCCAATACATATGGAAGCCATCATTAGCTACTCCAGAGCAGATTAAATTTGCTCAATAGCCATTTATTAAGTGTCTGTATTTGAGACATGAAGAGAAGGCAAAATTAAGCTGATTACTTAACTCCAGTATCTTTCTATAGAGAATTCCTCTGTATAGGAGAGAGCCATTGTTCCCTGCTTCTCAAATGTGCATTAGTGTGAAGTGAATCATGGAGAAAGACTTTGAATGTTCAGAGAACATGTGAATTGAGCAATAGAAGAGGAAAAAAGATACCAAAAATGCTTATGACAAAGACTCCAGATCCCGAGCCCCACGCCAGGCATGGCCACATGTAAAATGAGTCTGAAGAGAGTTCACTGACAATAACAACAGCAATCGTCACTGACATTTATTGGGTGCTTACATTGTGCTAGTCACTATGCTAAGTAATTTGCATTTGTCTACTTAATCTGCACAATAACCCTTTGAGGTAAGAGACAATTCCAATTATCACTCACTGAACAGGAAACCAGAGAGGTTAAGTAATTTTCCCAGAGTCACACAACAGGTAAAGTAGCAGATCCAGGAAGACCTATCAGTTCCACTTTGAAGGCAGAACTTTTCACCAATAAACTGCCTATTTCTGTCAAACACCTTCCACGAGCATCTGTCGAGCTTAGGGGTAAACACTGAGAGTTTACCCCTAAACCCTTCCCACCCCTACCCAAGCCCAGACCGTACTGTTTCTTGACAGCATCATGGCGGAAGGCCCAGCTGGGAATCATGGAAGTCTCCACTTTCTTTTCCAGCTGATGCAGCTGGGAAGGGTGTCCTGGGTTAGGAGCAGCAGCACCACAGTGAGGTGACTGCTAAGAAGTTAGGGGGCACACGAGTCACCAAGGCATGCATCGCGGGGCTTAGTGCCCCGGGCCTCTAGTGCCATCACCTGCCTGGCAAAGTGGGCCTGTTGCTAAAGCTGCCACCTTTCTCTTCCTTTCACAGGCATGAATGCTTTACAGTTACAGAATCTGGCCACCCTGGCGGCAGCTGCAGCCGCGGCGCAGACCTCAGCCACCACCACCAATGCAAACCCTCTGTCCACCACGAGCAGCGCCCTGGGAGCCCTCACCAGCCCTGGTAAGGGGACGCGGAGAAAAAGACGCCCAGGTCTGCACACGCCTGGGTGCCAGGTGCAGGGTATCTGACTGGGCATCGGGCTTAACTTGTGTCACTAATTATTTTTAAAGAACCAGACTTTCAACTTGCATGTGTTTTATTTTCCAATGAAAAAAAATGTTTTCTCTGGGAGAATCCACCATGCTTGTGATTCTCTCACATTTATTTTGTTTCAAAAATATGTTGTCCATTCAATCCTCATTAAGTCTTCACCATTATGAAGAGCCTCTATCTCTTAGTCATGCTTTCTTCTTCTTCTTCTTCTTCTTCTTCTTCTTCTTTTTTTTTTTTTTTTTTGGCAATTTAAGAATTCTCTGTTAAATCTCAAAATCCCTAATCATTCCAGTGTGATTTTACACCCTTACCATTCTTCACATTTTATTTTAAAATCCACAGTCTAAAGGGACTATCTTTGTTGTTTGTTTATGGTCATGTTCTGGACTATGTCATTTGAAGTCGTTTTCCTCAGAAATTTTGTTGCCTTATTCAAAAGCAGATGCCATTTTTCTTTCATACAAGCCAGACATAATGTGGTTGCTTGGATACCATGATTTGTTTGTTAAGAAATGTTTCTCTGGCTTCTCTTTCTTCCTGAATTTTCTAGACCTTGATAAATGATCTCGCCTCCTCCTCTGGTGCGTGGAGGAGTCGGCCTGGACAGTCTCCAAGTTTTCTCCAACTCTGAAACCTCGTGACCCTCTATTGGCTATGCCAAAAAGATTAGCTAAGTGTTGAAAAGACTTTTATGTAATAGTGCAAGGTTTTCTTTCAGAAAAATAGAAAATGAAAGCTACAGCGCACCACAGACCGGCTTTCCTGAGGCTTTTGACATTAGGGAGCAGTGAAGCCCGTTGGCAGGTTTAAAGGCTATAGCCCTGGGTCTGTTTATAAAACATTGTGGATCTAATATATACATTTCCCTTTGAGTATAGTTTTGAGGGAGAAATCTAGGAGATTTTTTAGGAAAAGCTGGGGGATTTATCCTTAATGTACAGTAATCTCATAGCAAAAGCCCATATAGGCATTGACTTCATTCTCTAAAATGTCTTCAGAAATGTACCATTACTTGTGCAATAAATGGTATTCCTACAAAAACAACTTTTGTGATTTCAACAAGTTATAGTACTAATGCAATATATAATGCAATCGTTATTTAAACAAACCCTATAGTTACCCTTTTAAGAAATAAACATTTTGACACAATAAATCCCCCCTTATAAAAATAGTAGTGATTTATCTTAAAAACAAATTTAAAAATTAACCTCTCTGATATATCTGTTTTATAAATCAGATTGAAAAGTATTTTTTCAAGTAAGCACTTTTACCTCCCCATGAAGGCTATGATATTATTACATTAAAACACCACACATTTTATTGTATCTTTAATCAGAAGCTGATATTTTTAACTATATATTATTTGGAGGAGGAAAACTAAAATTCCCTCAAAATCTGAACACTCGTTTATATAAAAATGAAGAGGATTTGCTCTCTTTTTTTAAGAGAAAGCAGTATTACCTTTTTTGTCTAAAGTAAATTTTTCTAATTTTTCATTGTTAACAGGTAGAAAAAAAGAAAACTCTTATTCTTACAAAAACTCTCTTCCTTATATGGCAAGGATCCATATAGCCCACAGTTTGGATCATCAGTCCTTAAATATAACTTTGACATACTTAATACTATAGTTACATTAAAATTATTCCACTATTCTGACAGTTGTGTTAAGGGTACAGGGCCTGATGTTTGCTTGTGAGGGTTCATTTCACTTATTAAAGAAGAATATTAAAATATATTCTTCTGTCGTGACATTTGTGCTGGAATGTGCTGTAGTTCCAGGGAATCAAAATTAATATTTGAACATTTCATTCTTCTTTAAAAGAGGACTTGCCAGTTTAAGCAGCCAAGTGCAAAAGCGGCTGTGAGCTGACCGGCGGTGCTCCTTAAGTGCTGGTACCGTGGTCGGCGCTGCCCTGGCAGCGGGGACAGAGCCGTGAACACAAAGGACGGCCCGGTCCCTTCTGCCCCGCAGCCTTCCAGTCTGTCAGGGTAACTTGGACAAGCAGCAGACAAGGTTGTGCCCTGTACGTGACGGACAAACGCTGTGACGAGACACTGGGCAGGAAGGTGGAGAGAGCAAAGGGGGTTGAAGGCCGCTTTCTCTCTGAAAAGGTGACATTGGAGCAGAAACCTGAATCAAGGGGAGGAAGCAATGTTGCTATCTAGGGAAAGGGCCGTTCAGGCAGCGGACAGAGCAAACGTAAAGTCTGCAAGGCAGGAGGGGGCTTGGCGTGATCCCAGACTAGCAAGGAAGGCGTCTCTGGTGCTGAGAGGGCGAGAGGTGAGGTCCACACTGTGGGTCCACAGCCCTTCCCTCCAGTGTGGTCAGGAGCCACAGATATGTCATAACCATCTCAAAATGCAGTGTACTTAGACAGCCTAGGAAGGGGGCCAAAGTATTTAAAGAACCTGAGACATATTTGACCATTTTCAGTTTTTTCCTGGGGCCATAATGAAAGGGACAGTGTGTCCTGAGATCATCCCCATCCTTCCTGCTCTCGGTACAACCCACCACTAGCAAGGTGTCCTTCCCTTTGCTCTTAAAGCTGTGTCTGCTCCTCTGTAGATTTCGCTCACTGAGGTATCATTGAGAGTGGCTTTCTCTTCTCTGTTGAGGAATACTTTGCATAATAGCTGAAAGTATTTCATTAGAATCCTGAAGTGTAGCTGCAGAAACGATTTAAATCTACATTTCAATTATATTTCTTAAGTATAACTAAAAAATCTGGCGTTTAAGTGAAAGTAAATTATTTGTCTAATTTCCATCAGGGACTCTTTCAAAGTCACAGAAAATGTGGTTAGTAGAATGCATGACTCTCCACTTCATCAGAGCCATTTCGGGGGCAGGGCTGGGGGGGGGGGGCAGGCAGGGAGAAAGCAGTTCCCAAGGCCAGTGCCTTTGCTTATTATTTTTAAATAATAAAAAGCTGGGTTTATTGTTCCATTAACAACCCAGTCAAACTGTGAAATGCATCACTCCTGCAAAGGCTTGGTTTTACCTTGTTTTTAATGCTGTCTCTTAATGCGTCAGACAAATCTACCCAGAAAGGAAAGGGACAATTCAAACCCCTAAACTATTAATTCTTTTAATAATTGTAAATTTATCATTTCAATTTTGCATGCCCAGGAACAGCCTCCCTACAGCATTATTATAAATGATTTTAAACCGTCTATGCTTTAAAACATGAAAGATTAAGCTTTAATTTTTGTTTAAAAAAATATATATATCCCCTCTGGCAATAAATAGGTTCCTTTGTCTCATGGCCTTGAAATAAAAATTAAAATGGTCTAAATTGCCCATGGTTAGAATAAGTGTTTCATGCAATTATCAGATGGTAGTGAATAAAATTAGAAATTAAATCATGAAAGAATAAAAACCAGGTGAATGCATATATGCCTTTTATAAGTTTCTCCCAGGTCTTTTGAAACCTAATTTAATCATGTTTCTTGTCTTTTATTTTGATGTGATAATTCTCCCTTTGTTTACCTCAGTCATCTATTTAGTTAATTAATTCTTGGGTCATTTCTTCGTACCGAGTTTTGAACCTGTTTTGAGGAACGTGTCTCTGTATTGATATAAAGGGGCCAATTGTCTCTAAGGCATGCAGCTAGGTCTTAAAGAAAGGTAGTATTTGTCTTCCACCCAGCTTGTAGATGTGTTGTGTTTGCTTGGTAATTCTGAGAACTTAGGAGAGAGCATTGTTATTGCCACATAGGAACATTTCTTTGGCATTTTCTGTCTAAGATACAATATTGCGTTCCTGTACCACATTATTCCACTGACCTTCTATTTCCTTTCTTTAAAAAACAAAAAGATGTTTTAAAATTCTCCAAATGCTTCTGTAAGTGCACTCAATCAAGTACACATTTCAGGATAATAGATAATTTCTTTTGATAGCGTAAAGCATTTTAAAATGCTAAGAAAGCATTTTTCCATTCCCACCATTGACTTTTCAAATAGTTTTCACTTGAAATGCTAGGCAATATTGTTCCCCATCTCCCAGATGTTCCCCGCCTCCCCAGGCTGTGACAGGCACAGCACAGCCAGCCCCCGGGGAAATGGTGCCGCTGCCCTGCGGACTGTTTGAGGTTAACAGAGGATGGAGGTGTCTTCGCGTGAGTCAGGCCCCCCCCCCCCGCCCCCGCCCCCTCCCCGTACCTCTCCCGTAAGAAGGACCAGGGCGTGGCCGCCTTCAGGGCCACACACCCTTGTCAGGGCAGTGGGGGAGAAAAGCAGCCGGCTGAGTGGCCGAATGAGCAGGAGGACACAAGGAGCTATCCCCAGACCTTTCAGTGTTACAGAAGCTTCCGTCCCCCTACCTGTGCCTGCACGTGTGGTGTTCCAGGGCTCACATCACGTGAACCAGTGGGGTCCGTAGGCTGACGTAGCCCATGTTTTCAACCCTTCTGCTTCTGTGCAGAGCAAGTGCTTCATAATAAACAGGTATTTCTAACAAACCCTTAACTAATTCTAAACCTGAGTCAAATGCAGTCTCCTTCATAAGCAGCTGTATTAGGAGCTCCGCGAGGACAGAGACAGAGGGGAGGCTGAAGTGTGGGGCAGGGGGAGGCGTTCTGCCCCTTCCCCGCTACGGATGGATGTTCTTCGTGCTCCTGCCAGTGCACTTCACCCCTTTCCATCGCGGAGTAGGTGTTTGAGCACCGCCTGTCTCTCACCCTCTGGAGAGAACGGTCAGTTCTTTCAAAACAGGAACAGTTTATTTACCTGTAATCCCCCTTGCATTTGGAAGCCCACCTCACCCCCAGGCACTCAAATGTTGGTTAACTCAATTAACAACAGTAGCAAAGTAAAGGTGTTCTAAGATAAATGTTTTAAAAACCTTTATTCATTCTAGTCCAGGCCGCATCTCTGAGAAGGAGCCCCTAGGCTGTGATGGTGCCCCTTG